TATATATATATATATATATATATATAAGTATCTGCGTGATGAAAAAAATAATACAAAGGGCGGAGTATCTAGCCAGGAAGGTTATTAATTATAGTACTACAAATGTCATCATCCCAGATTTATTATGTCATTTTGTATATAACTTATTAAACTAATAATTTATATACTATTTAATTTTTTACTATTTTTAACTCTTTTTTTAATTTTCCTACTTTTATGAATAAGTATTTTATTTTTATGGGATATTGTGACGAACTAATACAGTCCACCTGATGGTAAGTGGTTGCTGCGGCCCATAGACATCTACATCTATCCTTGTCTATCTATATCCTTGTATATCTATATATATATATATATATATATATAAGTATCTGCGTGATGAAGTGAGAAATTCTAAAAATATAAATATCACGACCGAGTCGGAAAATAATGTACAGAGTAGTGCAAGCACAGAAACCGCAAATAATTCATAGTCAACAGACCAAGACCTTACTCGTTTTGTAGCGCGCGGTTCGCCACGAAACGAGCAAGGTCATTCGCTTCATATTCAGCCTTACAAGGTATGGCTTAGGTTTATTATATCAGCTGAGTGACCCATGAACCTCGCCTCGTGTGTGTATTTGAGAGGCTAAAATCTGAGTGCGGGCAGTGCGTGACATGAGATTATGACTGTTGAAATAGAAATTGAAAATATTATAAGAAAAAAAAAATAACAACGAAATTGAGTACAATGACTCATCAATTGTTCGCCAAAAATTTATATAAGGGATGCCTCCAATACTTTTAAGTTACCAAATAAACAATATTGAAAACGAAACAGATTTCGTCAAGAGGCAGTAATATATATCGCAACATTAATGAAAAAACTCATTGGTAAAAGTAAATAACATAGGTCTTCCAATTTCCTCAGAAATAGCCGTCTTATTAACTTTAAGGTTTTATATCACAGCATCATTTCAGGTATGTACATATTGTATATTTATTAAAATAGGTATAATTTAATTGATTATTGAAATTAATACTACGTTTTAAATTTAAAAGTAGGCAATGAGAGCAACCATGACTTTTTCTGCCACCAGGCCGATGCCGCTTAAAATGAGGTGTAATGTTTGACAGACTTCCTACTGGAGAAATTAATTTGTTCAAGAAATGTAAAAGTTAATGTCTCTCTGTACTTTTAGTTACATTGTATATTAATAAGATTAAAAATAAGTAAACCTTTATATATCTATATTTGGGGGCAATTTATAGCCTTTGTTAAAAAGTTTTGATATTCCAGTATAAAAGATAAAAGAGCGAGTACAATTGCAGCTTGTAAAGCATTACATCTTAGTCCTCAGAGTGGTTAAAACTCTACGTGGTATTTAACTTTTATACGTTGTAGAGCCATGCTGCAGTCATATTAGTATCTAGTATAGTTGTAGCACGAATGGGTCGGCTTAACCAGGGAAGGACCATGCTCTCACAGAATACCAGCGTAAAATAGTAGCTTAATGCTGCTGTGTTTCGTATGGTGAGTGTAGACACCGAAGACCCTTTTTAATGGAAACGAGGCATTCCATCATAGTCTTCACGGGTGAGAACACATCTGCATTTTGATTTGTAATCAAGGATAGATGTAGATGTCTATGGGCCGCAGCAACCACTTACCATCAGGTGGACTGTATTAGTTCGTCACAATATCCCATAAAAATAAAATACTTATTCATAAAAGTAGGAAAATTAAAAAAAGAGTTAAAAATAGTAAAAAATTAAATAGTATATAAATTATTAGTTTAATAAGTTATATACAAAATGACATAATAAATCTGGGATGATGACATTTGTAGTACTATAATTAATAACCTTCCTGGCTAGATACTCCGCCCTTTGTATTATTTTTTCTAAGGGGACGCAATAAAGTTTTTAAAATAAAAAATAAATATGGGCTATTATTGTATTCTACAGTTATTTAGATCCAGGTCCTATTTAGATACGTTGAGACGAGCTATGGGTTTTCTGATTATCCACCATAGCTTTATATTTTTAACAATTCCGAGGAAGCATATTTTCGCAATCGGAGTAAATACATGCTTCTCGCTTTCCATATATGAATAAGTTCATTTTCCCCGCGAGACTGTCGTCGATTTAATGCGTTAGGTTCTTTGTATATATATATATATATATATATATATATATATATATATATATATATATATATATATATATATATATATAACATAAGTAGTAAATATTTAGTTCGTATTTATAAATACGTACAAAACAGTTTAAGGTTTTTCTAAGTAGAAAACAAGTGAATAACCTTATACAGCTCTATTTATTTAAATTCTATCAAAATAAAAATACTCAATAAAACTCACGATATAGAAAAAACGAAACGTTATGAATGATATTCTAAACTTCAATTTATCTGACGTAATCGTTCACGAGATCAAGCTCTCAAGTCATAGGACAGTATTCTTAAGTACAATGTTTTGAGGAACTGATCTTAGTAAATGAGTTACTGTTTTTATGTATTATTGGAAACGATCTTGTTGATGCTGATATCATAATGAGGGCGTATATATCAAATAATTACGCACTTGAGTTTGTCGTTGAGTAACGTTTATTAATACGGGCCTAAAAGACTCTCATGAAATTAAGATTGGCTACGTTTCTTATGTCATGTCTTTATTACTCTTGCGAAAAAAATACGTGATTACAGAAAGTCACAGCTTTCGTTTTGTATATATCATTATATTAGTAGGTGAACATTAAATATTAAACTACTTATTTGGTATTTTTAACAAAAGGAGAGTAACGTTACACGTAGCATTCGGAAAATGATGACCTTTTAATACAAAGCCCTTTAATATATTAAATGCGAGCATATTGATCAGTTGACGATCCTCGCTTTATAAGCTAAGATCCCTTTGGCCTTTGCCTTTCCTGCACGAAATAATATTACTTTTTAAAATAGTTTTGTCGAATTTTAATGGCAAGAGGTACTTGTATACGATAAATCATTGCTATTATAGTTGTTGAAGTGCGAAAACTAGTCCGTAGACTCCACCGCGATAGGTTCCGGAGCATGTCTGCGACCGCCGCGCTCAGCGGAGCGGGATGAACGAGCGGAGAGGCGCGCTCAACACTCGCCCGGGTATCGGGGTTTATTTTAGGCCCGTAGAATGGATTGCTATTACAGACGTCTGTTACTTGATTTTAATAATATTTTTAGTTTAAGAGGTTTGTAAGGGTTAAGATTGAATCTATTACACTGTCTTTCGATGTCGGAAATACGTTTTTAATTAATTACTACAAAAATGTATTTCACAAAAATTGCTTATAACGAAACGCAAGTACCTATGTCAGTTTGATCAAGTAGGTATTATGAAGTAGAAGATATATAGAAGTAGTAGTATTTGATTTTTTTTTTCAATTTAGGAGGTTTGTTAGGGTTAATAAGCTTAACCTTGTCTACACTGTTTTTGGATTTTGAAAATGAGCCTTTTGAATTAAATACTGTCAAAATATATTTCAACGCAAATATGTCAATTTGCTTTTTGTTAACACGGATACATCCATAAAAAAGTTAGTCACTAAGGCCCAGATAATCCATTTGTGACTGAAGAAGGGACTCATATACAACGAAAGTGAGTCGCAGTGGAGAGCAGCCAAGAAGTTTTAGAAAACCAAATTATAACAATTTACATTACATTGTGTCATTTACCAATATCAAAGCAGAGTTTGTGGCAAACTTTCTTTATAGACAAGATTGGTCGAATCTGTTCTAAAACCGAATCAGCATGCCCTAACTCCACGTAGTCTTGTCTACTAGGCGCGGAGGGAGAGCAGTGCAAACCGTAGCGGCTGAGGCTGGTCGCCGAAGATGACCAATAAGCCAAAGCTGCGGAGGTGAGCGGGTGCGTGCGACGCAAGGGCGAATGGCTTGTACTTCCCGCAGCACCGAAGCTGTTGCGGAAGTATCTTTAGGTCAATATTCCTGTATAAAAATGAGGTTATGAATTTAAAAAAAAATCTTACTCATAAACTGTACATTTCCGCAAAGGGGGATGGGTAGGGGCTTTTTTTGCTTCGCTCAAATGTTTAAAAATAAAATAAATAATAAAAAAATCAAAAACCCGACTGCAAAAAAGACAATTTAAAATTAATGTACTAAAAAGATCGAAACAAGATTGAGAATAGAAAACAAAATTAAAATAAACTATAAACAAAGTAAACTCTACTTCGGTTTAACAGACTATATAAGCTAAAAGCCTAAGTAAAATAGCATAAGTAAACTACTAAGTATAGTAGCAGGCGGAACCCATTAATTTTCTTCCGGTTTGTAATTTTAAATGGGTATATTATATCCCTTTGTCGTATCTCCTCAGTTTAAAGGTACTCCCCTTGTTGCCTCAGCCAGTATCGGAATCCTCGGGGTCGACATATCGAGTGACGTGCAGTTTCGTGGTCACTTGGAAGAGAAAGCTGGACCCGGACCGGTCCTCAGGTGTTTACACCTTCAAGAAAAGAGCTTACTCCTTTCTAAAGGGCCGGCAACGCACCTGCAATTCCCCTGGTGTTGCGGTTGATCATGGGCGGCAGTGAGCCGCATGCTCGTTTGCCCCCTCTTCTATATAAAAAAATATTTATATGGTTATTTTACTTAGGTGTGTTTGATGTAGTAACTTTCTAGGATCTAGCGAACTAATCGCTAGACCTGAGAGTGATCTAACTCGGCTCAAAGCGACGTAAGCTCGACCTTTAGCGAAAAGATTACTGCTTAAATCAACAACAGCCTGGTCTAAAGTTGTTCCCTGTAATTTATGTACTGTCACTGCCCAGCTCAAAATTAATGGAAGCATACGTCGCTTGATCTTCCCTTTACCACGTAAAGCATCAAATTCAGTAGTACAAGGTGCAATGCGGACACCAATGCCTGGTCGGTTGCCAGTTATACTAGAGTCATCAAACTAAAGAAATGCAGCTTGAGGCAGTTCTCTCACTTTCAGCTGGTCTCAGCGTAAAGCAGGCCATTCTATGTTACGGAGCACCCTCATAGCACCATTGACTAATCCGTGATTAACATTTATGTTGCGTCTTAACATTGCTCGTGATCCAATGCCAAGTTTTATCATATTTGCTATGCCCCCTGTTTTATTGGGATCGTCCGATATATATTCTTTTTTCAGAGTTTGACCGTATGTTTTAGGGTCCAGTGAGATATCTACTGCATTAATCTGAAATATTTTACTGCGTTTTGCTGGGTCTTCAGTTATGGTTTAGTTATAATTTTTCACAAGCTTAGTTGTAGGAAAAATTCTAAAACCACCGAAGTCACCGAATGCTCCTGTCAAGGGTACTCTTCGGCTGTCTATTACTGACAACTGCAGGATTGTCAATAAAACTCGAAGACTATTCATCTGAGACGAATATTCAATACATCTACAAAAGTGGTTCTCCAGCTTGCCTCATATTTTGAGGTAATTTGCAGGAATTGAATAAGTGCCACAAATTAATTTCGGCGGATAATAACCGTGGCTGACGAAAGCAATAGGATCCTCCAGCAACTTTTGATACCAGGGTTAATTGAATCAGATCTCCCAAAAGAAGAACACTGACTCCAAAAAAACATCGTTATTTTCTTGATATTGTAACATTTTATGAAATTCTGATTAAAAATCTGCGTTTCACAGGTAACGATTCCGTTACAATGTGTTATAAAAAACCTTTCTAATCCCGCTATCAGTCCATTGAAAAAACCTTCTATTATACCAAAAAGTGCACTCGAATTTATTATACCAATAGTTACATCAGGTTGAATATAATTCAACTTTGTATCAGCAAAACACATCGAAGGCAATAGCTCTTCAGTATTCAAGTATTGTGGCTTATTGGGTAAACGTGACAGATACTGAATGAAATATGTATTTCCAGGTAAGAGGACGCGGTATATATCAAGCGTGTTCCACTGTGAAATGGACCGTACTTTAGAATAAGCGATAGCTGTAGCAGCCATAGCTGTGCGCTGACGTCCGCACATACTTCCAAATCTTTCATTGCCTTGATGGAAATTTCCCCGCAAAATATTTTTCTCGTTATCTATCTGCCTAAAATGGCTTTGTGGAGTTCTGACCACGTTGATGTCGTTTTAAAGTTCCGATATCGTTATAGCTTGTTAAATACTTTGATGTAATTCTTCGTCATTAATTTATCTACATATTTCTGTATAAGTGATTATTATGAACTAACCATATAAATGCTTTTTAATTCTTTCAGTGTCTACACTATATCTTCTATTGCCAGTCACGTTATCAAGGATTTCTGTCACAATAGTGAAACCCATGTTTGCCACCGAGAGAGGAAGCTGTTCCGCTACTTCTTCCACTTGCTGAGCAAACAAAATAGCTTGCCCTTTAAATCCTTGCTGACCATTGCGACCATCTAAACGCAACATTTTCATAAATGGTTTTACACGCGAAATCAATCTCAGTTTGATTTCGGAAAGAAAAAGCAAGTTCCTGCGGCATTGCGGAGATGGTCATATTATTCCAAAACGCATTAGACGGGCACTGATTTTTTATCAGATTATTTGCACATCTATAGCAAATAATCAGCTTTTCTGGTGTATTAGCAATTAATGCTGTTATATTAGTGGTGACGTTAAAATTGCGGCACTGTTTTGCATATAATAGTTTTGTACAAACATAGTATGGTGTTTTAGACATTTGTGCAATTGCTTCTTTAAATCCCTTAAATAAACTTTTTTGAGCGAGTCTCCTATCCTTCATGGTGGTTAGTCTCTCTTCTCGAGAATTAAGAGACAGCTGTGTGTAAGTTTGAGAGGCGTGTTTTAGCCTTTCTGCACGAGATGACGGTGACTCGTTTTCCGTACGGGTAAAAGAGTATTGTTCCATAGACTCTAGTCTTGCGAATCTAATTGAAGGTGACTCATTCTCCCTACGGACAGAAGAGTTTTGTCTCACAGACTCTAGTCTTGCTGCTCTAGATGTGGGTGGTTCATTCTCCCTTCTAGAGTAAATGTGATTGGCTAGGTATGTTAAGCTTCCTTTTCTTTTAACTGCAGTTTCTTTCACTAACTTGACTGAATTATGGGCACTTTTTTCTTGGGACAATTTTTTTTCGAGTATTCGGAAAGCTGGCTGTAAATTAAGGCCATTCTATCTTTCATCTTATTTAGACGTATTTTACGTGACCGCGGAGATTCAGTTTTATTTTTTCTGCAGCTGCATTAGCTCTTTTTGTTTTTCGAGACAAAGACATTTTTGATAATATCAAATATTCGTATACCTACCTATATAAATACGAAAAGCTGAATAATAAACAGAAATAGAATGTTTTAAGAAAGCAATATATATAGTAAACGCAACAAATTAAAAATAGAAAATCTTTTAAAGCAATCAAATCAATATATAAAAATTTATAGGAAACAAATACTCATATTATCTATTATATTATCATAATACACATATACCTGAAGTAAACGAAGTATCGATAACACCTATATCAAACATAAATTAGAAGAATTTAACTAACCACTAAACATACCCAAATTTACAAGATTTAACAAACGAACTAGAATAGAACTCAGAAGTAAACTAACGAACGACCAAGCACAAGCACACATATAACAAATACGACCAAAGTAAGAACATACAACGCAGACAAACTCAGAAATCAGAATAGATATTTTCCTATTTTATTTATAAGCATAAAGCAATTCCTTTTATTATATTATATACTGTATCGTTGAATATATTACTATTGCTTGTGTTTTTTTTGCCCGAAGCAAATAAGGGCAACCCTCCGGTGACGGGGGAGGGAGGTCGAGAATGCTCATAGCATACCACGCAGCTGGCTGCGTGGTTATATGGAGACTTTTACCCACTTAACTCCACCTTTTTTTGGGACTGGCTTAACGATCTGACGAGAGATCTTTAAGCAGCTAAACGGACGCGACCCTCCTTGGCAGAAAGGAGGGCGCATTTGCTTGTATTTAAACGAAAAATACCCACTATAACAGAACGTAACCCTAGTGCGATTCAATATATCAAATCACCTACTTATATACATAATACAAAAAGCTGAATAATAAACAGAAATAGAATGTTTTAAGAAACAATATATATATATATATATATATATATATATATATATATATATATATATATATATATATATATATATATATATATATATATGTAAACGCTTATAAAAAAAACATCCTGAAACAATATTTTCTACAAATAATAAACAAAAAATACACATAACATACATTATAATTGTTAAACATTACTTACACAATAATATACATTAACTTATACATTAGAATAATTATATCCATCTACATAATAGCAGTTAATAAATTCAAGTAAGCATATTATACATAATATAAACACTAAATATTAATATATATAATATGATAACAAATTTATCCACATAAAAAACAAATACAAAAAATACATATACATAATAAATATAAAGTAACAACACTATATAATAATAATCACAAACCACACTTTATACCATACCTGTCATAAACGTTTTGCTAAAAAAACATCCTGTAGAATAAAAGTAGCAAAAAATGAAGATAGTGCTGCATAGGAACGTCCACAAAATGTTTTTACATAACCTTATCTTGTGATATACCACAATGAGGTTATTGTGTTTACAAAATGTGTAGCTGTCTTGTGATTGTTATTTAAGTATGGATGTATGAAGTATGTAGCAAATATGTTATAGTCTTAATCTTTATTAATGTATAACGACGGCTTAGGGTGTACGGTAAAACTCAAAAGAGTTTATGTTTACACCTTATTAATTGTTATACTTCTAACTGTATGTGAAAACAAAAATAAATAAATGAAATGAAATGAATACCTGTTAGTGATGTCGAACTAATTCTATTCTATGCGACTTTATACTATATACTATAACCATACCATACTATATACATATACTATACCATATTGTAGAATATAATACATTACTTGTGTTTAAGCGAAAACTGTAGGCCTGGGTCGTATCGTGTTTTCGTATCTATAACAGATTTCGTGTTATTATATCTGATAACTTTTTTTAATATCTGAAAATCGTATCTATAATAGATTTCGTGTTTCAATATCTGATAACTACCCCTTTAACCAAAACCCAAAACCTATTTCAAGATGTATGTAGATATTCTGTATACACGTTTAAGTTATTTTCTACTCCGATAAGCTGTTGAAATCCAATACGAAGAATTTATAGTTATTCTTACGTATTCGATGTGAATCAGTATTGTAGATGTATAGTAATAGAGTAAATAATATCCCACCAAAAACATTCTGTAAAAAACTAGCCAGTCTCGATGGAGCTGCTTGTTTATCTCTAAAAAGTAATGAAATCTAGACAAAGTCGTGCCAAGTCTAAGGTTCCTTACTGCGATTTCTTTATTATTATAGTTAATGTTGTGTGACTTGGCTGTTGAAGGGTACACAAGGGTACAAAACCAGGTGCTACATGACACCCTTGCACCAATCTGTCGCCAGAACCGCTATCCATTGACGATGGAAAATTGCCACTTTGAAAACGTTGATTGAATAACCAGTCAATTTTAGGCGTCAAAACGACCACCGATCTAACATAAAATAGACGTACAGACGGACTTCTATCAATGATTCGAAGTCCGCCTGTACTGAAAATAATTTTTTATACTGTTTGTTTCAGGCTCGCCTATACAAAAGTATTATTGAAATACGCAGCTTTATCAAGCCTACAATTGACTGGTTATTCAATCAACGTTTTCCAAGTGGCAATTTTCTATCGTCAATGGGTAGCGGTTCTGGCGACAGATTGATGCAAGGGTGTCATGTAGCACCTGGTTTTGTACCCTTGTGTACCCTTCAACAGCCAAGTCACACAACATTAACTATAATAATAATCGCAGTAAGGAACCTTAGACTTCGCACGACTTTGTCTAGATTTCATTACTTTTTAGAGATAAACAAGCAGCTCCATCGAGACTTGGCTAGTTTTTTACAGAATGTTTTTGGTGGGATTTCACTTCTTTTTGTAGAAACGTGGGCACATTGATTTATTTTATTAGATTTTCTTATTAGTCATATTCTTTTTTCTTTTTTAGGCGTTTTTTATTATTATAAATCTTTCTTTTTCTTTTTTTTCTGGTTCTAATTCTTGTACAGTAGCAACAGTTTTTCGTATTGCCCATTCGCGTTCATTATTTATTCTTTTAAACGGTTTAAAATCTGAAAGATCGGCGCGGTATTTACGCCTAAGCCGGTTGTATTCGGTGATCGCTGAAGCTTGAGCTTTTATACTCTTAAAGTCAACATTTATGAGGTGCATCCCATGAAGATTGGTTACTCGTGAAAGCGCTACGTAGGCTTGGCCACAAGTGAATATGGAGGCGCCAATGTCCATGAGGGCATTTTTTTAGACTTAGACCTTGGCTCTTGTGAATTGTTAGGGCATACGCCACACAGATTGGGAATTGTTCCCTGTACACGTATGCCCTGGGTATGATCTCAAATTTTGACTTAATAGGCAATAATTCGTGAATCAAATTATTAGCGAATTTTACTACCAATTGTTTAGGCTTTGTTTGGTCTTCCGGGTCCCACCTCACTTTTTGTACAACGCCTAATGACCCATTCACTAAACCTAAACTAACATCAATATTTCTCCTAAGCATTACTTTAGCTCCCTCTTTGATGATTATAGTTTCTTCCAGTCCAGCAGTCATCGACGCAACATCTTCATATTTTTGTAAACACGCCCGGGCTTTTGTTATCATACATTTTGAACAATCCAAGGAATCTTTAGCAACTAACTTTATCTCGGGGTGCGGAATCGCTTTTAACATAGCATTATTTAACTACATACACATATTTCTAGTCGGTAGTAAATAAACAGTATCTTCTAGTAAGTCTAGTGTAATTTGTTTATTTAACCTTTCTCTTACTGCGCCCGCCGTAACAAAAAACAGCTTTGTCACCTCAGCTGGTGGCACTTGTTATAAACATTTATGTTTCTCACTTATGTTTAAAGAGGTTTTTTGTTACAGTTATTTAAAGCCGATAAGATTTTCGATAAGTAGAAATAATAACCATAACATTTAAATGTTTATTTTAATTTGTTACAGCTCTTTGTTTCTAAGGGATCTTGATATAGTGTACTTACTGACAACAAATTTTATTTTATGAATGAAATATCATAAGTTTTTATTTTATTTTTATGTCCTTACAATCAATATAACATATTCTTCCTAAATGAACCGAAATTATGCATGTAATAATTATAATAATTCTACTTTTTCACTTGCAAACATTTGCTAAAAATTCGACAATAGACAGTTTGCGCGCGTTTTGTAACCTCATTTTCAAAACCTTCTTGTGTATATATCATAGCGTCTTCCTTTATTTTTCTTATACAATC